CTAATAAAGAGTGGGAAAAACAATATGTCTGTTTGCAGGATATTTCTGAACTGAGTTGCCTCCAAATAAGTCTGCACTGAAAAGAGCTATTTTCTGAGTCACTAAACTGGCATCCAACTGAATCTTGTGGTTGGTACACACACACATCCCATAGCAGTACACATTTCCAAAAGGGAAATACAGATATTTTTATTTCAAGCATTTACCAGATTTTGATGCTTTCTTTAACAGTTTGTTTTCCAAATGAGTCTCATCCCCCTCCTTGCTCTTCATCCAAGCCCACATGCTATCTACTTTTCCCCTCTGGTATGACTATAAGGATGAAAAGCTTTTCCTTTCTCTTCAATTAACTGTACTTTTATGTAATACCCAAACCTTAAAGTAAGTTAAGCAACAATGTATTCCATTTGTGGTAGATTTCCACCCAGCATCCCCTAAGTATGAGACATCTGTCCACTGTTAACACATTCTGAATATCTTAATAGAGCCTTCAACAATCCTTCAGTTTTTTTGCCAACCACAGAATCTGGAAATTTTTGCTAAAAATGGTCCTGATAATACAAGTCAGCAAGCCAAGATAACACCCCTGTGAAACAAAGTGTTGCATCATCCGTTAAGATATTAAGGAGACTGTTACTTTTAGAAGCCCAGTGACTGACATCAATTATACTAAACAATACATCACTTGCTGGTCCTGCAATCTTATTTATGTGATTAAGTGCAGACATACAGGATATAATTTGTAGGACATGGGAAAAACAACAGCAGACCTAGATACATGTATAGGTCTACAATCCTGGGCAGTAAGCTAGAGCAACTATTGGCTAGGCATTTCAACTTTGAACATTATGGCCTTTTGCCCATGTTTGGTTTATGCTCCCCTCCTCCTCCTTCTTTTGGTACTGAGATGCCTTCTTCTACAGAGATTTTGGGAAAAAAGTGAAAGGTTTTTTTTTTATTTATTTATAGACTGAGACCCTAACACCACATCCATTAAATTGTTACCTAGTATACAGCCCAGTTTCATCTTTAGCAACTGAAGAAAGTAGAAGCCAAATCATTTTGCCCATGTTATATTTTTCAGTTATGCTTCTTGGGGGCTGTACAGATGGCTCTTTCCTTGCTGGATTGAAGCCCCGGCAACTGCACACTGCAGCCCTGATCCGGTACTTTACCACTTTATAAAGAGCTAGAAAATGTTGTTCCTTTTTAGAGTGGCAAAAAAGCTGTCCTTTCAGCACTCCTTTGACACAGAGTGTATGCACGCTGTCCAAGGAAGCACCCTGATGCCACCTGCCGTCTGGGTGGGCAGCTTGAGAATGATGTGGAGGTGGAGTCGGGACAGCTGGTGTGTGGTTGCCATGCCCTCATTCCACCCCCAGCCCCCAACTCACATATAGTCTCTCTCTCTGTATGTGTGTGTGTATATATATATATATATATATATATATATATATATATAAGCGGGGGGGTTGAGAGGGAGAGGGAATCTAATATTCTAGGGAATCCTGCCTGACATTTAGGATGAATAGATTTGTTCATCAGCAATTTCTGTTAAATAATTAGATCACTGATGAATAATACTTTTGAAGTAGCACTTCAGGTACAAATCTCTGCTGGATATTGCTGTTATAATACAGAAATAAATGAGCGTCATGGACTATGGATGCCTGTTACAAGAATACTGCATTTGCTAGAACACTTTCCTAATGAATTCAGTTATCCTACCAAGGAACATGTGTGCATGAGAGTTCACTTTTTCTTCAGAAGGGAAAATGTGGGGGTTCTTCTTATGTCTGGATTAAGGTGTTATCAGCATTCCCAAATTACTGTCATTTTGACAATAGCAAAGTAGTTTTAATACTGAAAAGCTAAATATGGGAGTAGAGTATTAGGCTAAAAATACTGTAATTTAAGTGAAAGTAATAATAAAAACAGATTCCCCCAGGTTGAAAATGCTGCTGCTAAATGCCAAGTCAGTGGATGGTAAAACAGCTGCCATTCAGGACTTGATCCTGGAAGAATAACTGACTTGGCCTTTATTACAGAGACTTGGTTGGATGAGGTGGGAGCAAAGGGTTAATCTCTCTCAACTTTGGGATTCTCTGTGCAGTAGCAGGCAAGACCTGGGGGCATGGGAGGTGGAGTTGCAGAGGCCTATCGGAATAATATCCTCCTGACCAGGTGTCTTATCCCTCAGTCTACAAGGTTTGAATGTGTTTATTTAAAGGTGGGCAACCAAAACAGATTAGGAATTCTGTTGGTGTACCGTCCACCCTGCTGCTCAACAGTCTTCCTACCTGAACTAGCCAGCGTGGTCTTAGGGGTGGTGTTGGAATTTTCTCAGCTTATATTGCTGGGGGACTTTGACATGTATGCCGAGGCTTCCCTGTTGGGAGTGGGTCAGGACTTCATAGCTGCCATGACAACCATGGGTCTGTCTCAAGTGGTATCTGGCCCCACTCATGCCACTGGGCATATCTAGACCTTGTATTCAGTACAGAGGAGGATTCTGGTGATCTGAGAATGGAGGAGATTTCTACTGTTCCATTGTCATGGACTGATCACTTTCTCATTAGGTTTAGGCTTCCTGGAACTCAGAGCCTCTGCAGGGGTGGGGAACACATTAAGATGGTCCAAGAGGCTTATGGATCAGATGGATTTCTGATGGCTCTTGGGGCGTTTCCTGCTGCCTTGGCAGGCGGTCCCATTGAATCGCTGGTTGCTCTCTGGAATGGAGAAACTACCAGGGCAGCTGACATGATTGCTTCAAAGCGTCCCATCTCATGGAGTGGAGTTAAACCAACCCCTTGGTTTTCTAAGGACTTGGCAGCAATGAAATGAATGAGACAGAGACTAGAGCAACAGTGGCAGAAAACTCAGAGTGAATCTGACAAAAACAGGCTAAAAACTACCTGAAAACATATGGTGATGCAATAAAGGCAGAAAAAAAAGCTTTTAAAACTAAAACTATTGGAGCTGCACAGAACCATTCAGCTGAGCTGTTTCAAGTGGTTAAGGATCTGTTATGATCTTGTCCTGAGGAGAATGTAAGCCAATCAACAGCTCTGTGTGAAAAGTTAGCTCTCCATTTTGCTGATAAAATGCTTGGATTTGCTCTGACTTAGATGCCAGAGTTGATACAGTGTCAGTGGATGTAACCTTGGCTCCTGCTTGTCCAGTATTGATGGATACTTTTCAATTTGTACAGCCTGATGATGTGGACAGGATCCTTGGAGTGGTGTCCCCTTTGCTTTTTAACATATACATGAAATCATTGGGAGAGATCATCCGGGGTTTTGGAGTAAGGTGTCATCTGTATGCTGATGATACCCAGCTCTATCACTCCTTTCCACCTAATTCCATGGAAGCTGCTTCTGTCCTAAACTGGTGTCTGGCTGCTGTAATGGCCTAGATGATGTCAAAGAAATTGAAGCTTCATCCAAACAAGACAGAGATGCTCCTGGTCAGTTGAAAAACAGATCTGAGAATAGGGAGTCAGTCTGTGTTAGATGGCGTTACACTCTCCCTGAAAACTCAGATTTGTAGAGGGGGTACTTCTGGATTCAGCACTGAGCCTAGAAGCCCAGGTATCAGCAATGACAAGGAATGCCTTTGCACAGCTAAAACTTGTGTGCCAACTGTGCCTTTTCCTGGAGAAGTCAGGTCTGGCCACAGTGGAACATGCCTTGGTTACATCCCGTTTAAATTACTGTAATGCACTCTACATGGGCTGCCTTTGAAAAGTGCTAAGAAACTTCAGCTGATCCAAAGAGTTACAGCCAGGCTGTTAACTGGAGCTGGTTACAGGGAGCATTTAACTCCCTTGTTGCTCCATTGGCTGCCAGTCCATTTCTGGGCACAATTCAAAGTACTGGTTTTGACCTATAAAGCCCTATACAGCTTGGGTCCAGGCTATTTGAAGGACTGTATCTCCTTTCAACTGAACCTTCAAATACTCCCTTCAAATACTCTGAGATCCCCAGTGAGGTCATTGGGTAAGGCCCTTCTCTCTGTCTCACTACCCTCTCAGATGCTTTTAATGGGAACTCATCATAAATATAACTATATAGCTGTATAGCGATAACTATTTAATCTGTTTTATAATTTCATGTAAATGTGGCCACAGTATTTTTTTTCTACCAAAAGCCCATGTATTGTAGTATTCTGAATCTTGAAAGAAAGTTAGAAAGATATTTCTGCTTCACTTTATTTTGAAACTATTCCTTTTGAAAAATACAACAGTAATTAAGAACAACAAATGTTTTTGAGGCCTCTGAACTCTAATTACTTTTAAAAGTAACTTTTCAAGCTCTCTTTTTATTTTTATTTTGTCTTACAAAATACAAACCTAAACTACGTGGATGCATAGTGGAGGATTTCTTTCTCTGTTTCTTTCTCAGGCTGCATGCACATGACGACATAATTCACTTTCACATCACTTTATTTGCCATGGCTCAGTGTTATGGATTTCTGGGTGTTATAGTGTTGTGAGACATTTAGCCTTCTCTTTCAGAGAGCTCTGGTGGCACAATAAACTACAATTCTCAGGATTCCTTAGCACTGAGCCAGGGCAGCTAAAGTGGTCTCAGACTGGATTAATTTTGCAGTGTGTCAGCTGCCTCAGTTAAATAGACACTTGTGAAACCTGGACATATTAAAGGAATATGCTGTTTTCCATTTCCCCCCCCCCTCCTTTCACAAATATTTTTGTGAAAGAAGAAATAACAAAAAAGTTCCAAAATACAATCATCATCGTTATCATACATCGACAATGTACAATATATCTTGTAATCTCACTGGGTATAGAAAATTTTTGAAATTGCTTGCTGTTACATGTAAGGTTTACATTCCTAATGTGTACACATTCTAAAGATAACGATGATAGTACATTCACTTGAACAGATATTAGTGAGGCAATCTTTTAGAAAATGTGATACATAAGAGTATTATATGAAAATATCTTAACATAATGAACAAAGAAAACAAAATGTACATCAGCCCTGGTGGCGCAGTGGTTAAATGCCTGTACTGCAGCCACAAGGTTGCGAGTTCAATACCAGCCCGGGCTGAGGCTCGACTCAGGCCTGCATCCTTCCGAGGTCGCTAAAATGAGTACCCAGATTGTTGGGGGGCAATCAGCTCACAGTTGTAAGCCGCTTAGACATCCCATAGCGCGATATGAAGTGGTATATAAATGAAGCTGCTTTGCTTTGCTTTGCATTTTGAGAAAAAGATCAGAAGATCAAAATGTAAACACATTCTTCCCTTCATTTGAGGGAATTTCCCCTAAGAGGGAAAATCCCAGTTATGACATTTCCTCCCCGAGGGGCCCAGTTGACACCTACGCTGGTGTCATTCCAGCACCAAATAAAAATATGGCTTTTAAAAATTAATCCATTTTATGCAAATATACACATGTGCAAGGTTTGTAAATGGCATGAACTCTTTGAACTGGTTGTTGTAAATGCTGATTTGTTTAATAACCTTTTAGTCTAAGATGCATTGGATTGTTTAACATGGTTTTAAATTAGTTGTGTTGGTTTTAATTTTAGGTGTAGAATGGGATGTAGATATTTTAATAAAATTGATGATGAATAAAATTGAAGAGGGAGCCTTTCATTTTAGATGATACTTGCAATGTATGCTCACCTTTAATTCAGTGTTTTAGATCAGTGTAGAGACCCATTTTTACAAAAAATTCTGTCTACAGTTTAGAGTAGTTTTAAGAATGATTAAATCAAAAAGGATTTTTCTGTTGCCTGCTATGAACTTAATAGATTCACATGTTCATGTCAGAATATTGATGGGATATATAGTCAATGATGAAATGTAAAGA